ATGGTGAGGGCCGGCCCAGTGGCGCACTGGAGAGTGCACCGCTTGAGAGTGTGGCGGCGCTCCCGCCGAGGGTTCGGATCCCATGTGGAGACCGGTTCCCGCTCACTGGCTGAGCACGGTGCGGGCGCGACACTGAGGGTTGCGATCCCATTGCTGGTCCCCGGTACGGGCGCAACACCGAGGGTTGCGATCCTGTTACCAGTCAGTAAAAAAGACAAAAAGGAAAAAAAAAATGGAATGGTGAGAGTGGGATATACCTACCTCATCAGGTATTACAGGGTTAAAATGAGTTAATCCATATAAAGTATTTACAAGAGTACCTGGCCCATAGTTCATAATATGTGAGAACATTGTGTTCCTCATGTTTCTAATGCTGGACATTAACAAATTTTGGACAGTAACAAATTTCATAACTTTCAGGAATGTAAAGGGTCACATATTCTTTTGTCTTGCTTTCTTTTGCATTTTTCTTTTTTTTTTCTTTTCTTTTTTTTTTTTTTAATGGTGCTGGTTTTGTTGTTTTATTTTAGTGAATACTAAAAAGCGTTGGTCAGGGCTTTCGTAAGATAACTTGTTCCCTTGTTTTTCATGTACGTCTGAAGTTCCTCAGCTGCAAACTCTTCTGCCTCTTGAGTTTCCCAGTAGTAAATCTTTTTGATTGCGGAAGGCCTGCCCGTCAGCAGTGCAGTCACTGAGCTGCGCACAGGCGATTGAGCGCTCCCTCCTCCTGGACACGTGTTCTCCACTTGCCTTCCAAGACTTCCTTCTCTTCTCCCCAACTTCTGACTGTTGGGATGTCCCCGAGCTGAGCTCCTGACCGCTCCAGCCAAACTTGCCCCCGACAGTCTCCCCAGCATTTTTCTAATTACTGGTGAGATTGAAATCTTCCTTGTGGCTTTCTTGGTCATTTAAATTACTTGTTCTCTGAAATACCAGTCCTTATCCTTGGCTCATTTAAAAAATCTGTTTTGTCTTACTGATTTATAGTTGTTTATATCCACTGTATGTTGATCCTTTCTTACACATGTTGCAAATATTTTTTCCAGGAGAATCTTTTTTTTTTTGGCAGCTGGCTGGTAACAGGCATCAAACCCTAGACCTTGGTGTTATTAGCACCCCACTCTAACCAACTAAAAATACTGAGCCAGCTCGGTATTTTTTTCCAGACTGTCACCTGTTTCTTTCTATTGCAGAACTTTTAATTTCTGATTAAAACTTTTCACAAAAACGTCAAAAACACAGATATAGAAAATACAGATTCCACCTAGTCCCATCCACAGAGAATTTGATTTGATCAGTCTGGGGTGAAGCCCTTGAATTTGCATTCCTAACAAACTCCCAGGTACTCTGACGCTGCAGGTCCATGGACCACACTCTGAGTAGCACTGCCTTAAAGAAGGCCCCCTGAAGCCTTATCTGTCACTACATGCTCTAGCCTTTCTCAAAAATACCTATAACAGGCTGGCTGGTTAGCTCCTTTAGTTAGAGAGCAGCCTTCTAACACCAGGGTTGGAGGTTCAGATCCCTGTACCAGCCAGCCACACACACACACACACACACACACACACACAAACCTGTAGCAGAATTTCCTCTTTCTAGCCTTATGACAATTAAGATTTTTTTCAGCAGGAACCACAACCCAAAGTGGTTCAAATAATATGGGAATTTTGTCTTATATAAGAAGTCTGAGCAGACCCAGGTTGGCTCATTAAGTAACTCAACAAAGAATTACTGAGACTGGTTTCCTTCATTTTTTCTTTCTGCCAGATGGCCTCCCACCCCTAGGAATCCATATGAGAAAACACAGAACTAAGGGGCTTCTGGCGAGACAGTTATTCCAGCACCCTAAAGAAAGACTGTACAAAAAAAAGTGGGAAGGGAGCCCCAGAGGCTCAAGAGGTAGAAGGAGGGTGAAAATCCATGTGCAGTCAGTTTTACGTTGCTGGATGTGTTGGAGTTTTCATCTTCTGTTTCTGCTGAGGATTTCCTTTAGGAATGTAGTTTCCCATGTGGTTTTGTTTCCAGATGGTAGAGCTATCCAAGGTCAGCAGCCGGAGTTAGAACAGGCTTTCTGGGAAGGCAAGGCAGTTTGCTGGCAGCAACTATCCTACCCCAAGGGGAATGACTTCTGGGCCAGCTCACTGGACGGCTGCAGGAAGGGCAGGGAGCCTGTGAGGGTGGATGGGTGGTACACACCCATGCAGAGGTATTATACAGCCTGAACAGAGGTGACTCATTTTGTTAAAGCTTTGAATTTAAAAACTTCTCTCCTGTAACCCAAACCACATGGTCTGCAGCTAA